AAAAAAATTAAAACCCCTTCAGAAATATTGAAAAACTAGTGTGTGTGTGTGTGTGTGTGTGGTGGAGAGGTAGGGTGGGGGCGGGAATCCCACAAAAATGGTTTGTTTACCTTGAGGGTCTGCAGGCACGGAGGTAAACCTAAGTAAACAAAGTGTCCCGGTGCGCCAGCTGCTTACCCTGACGGGCCGGGAAATTTGGGGGGTGGGAGGGTGGAAGCTGGGGGTCAGGGGAATTACCCCTGTGACCACCCCCCACAGGACCCCACCCCTAGCCCAGGATTCCCACACTCTCCCCATCTCATCTCTTCCCACTTTATCTGGAGAGGATGTCTCTGGCCTGGCTGGAGCTTCTCCGGCAAGCTGGGAAGCGCGGCCGAGCCTGCTCCGGCGGGCCAGACCAGGCAGCGCGGCCGCAGCATGTTCCAGTGGGCTGGGCCGGATGGCACAGCCGCAGCATGCTCTGGCGCCCGGGCAGCGCAGCCACAGCCTGCTCTGGGGGGCGGGGCCGAGCAGCATGGCTGCAACCTGCAAGCCCCAGAGCTGCAGCTGCTTCGGAAGCTGTGGGGGAGAGCAGCGTGGCCAGAAGCGGAGAGACTCTGGTCCCGCTTCTTCCCTTCTGGCTGTGCTGCCTCTCCTTGCTCCCTCTGTTAGGAAGAGGGGCTGTGTCCCACCTCTCCCTCTCTATACCCGTTCATAAGCGGACCCCCTTCTCTGGTGCTTCCCTTTTTTACTAAAAAAATCCGGCTTATGAACAAGTATATATGGTAATTCAGTGACTCAGACAGAGATTATGGGTCTATTGCAGGAGTGGGTGGGTGAGTTCTGTGGCCTGCAATGTGCAGAAGGTCAGACTAGATGATCATGATGGTCCCTTCTGACCTTAAAGAGTCTACAAGTCTATGAAGTCGGAGGCACCACCATGCAGTAGCAGGGTATTGGACTGGAAATCATAAGACTTATGTTTTAGCCACACTCACATTATCCTGCTGTGCGGCCTTACTCAACTCTCTCCACCTTTCCATTCTTTAGTTTCCCCATCTGAAAAGTGGTTCTATAGATGAAGAGCTCTATACAAGAGCTAAGTAGTGCTTTTATTTGTTAAGAGAGAGTTTTGAAAGTGTGGTGTTCAGAATGTCCCCAAAAAGACTATCCTTAGAAGGAAGATCCATTGGTCTTTACTAATAGGAAATATCCCCTCCCTGTAGCCTTATATAGAGGCCTATTTGAGCTGCCAAAACTTTATGCAGGAAATTAAGGGAAACCTGCAGTTAACATCCACAAGATTTTTTACTCACTGCTTCTAACTCTGTGCAGAAAGACACAGACCTCACACTCCTACTATCCTCTGAAAGATCACTGAAGTTAATAAGGCCCTAAAAAATTTAGTATGGGAACTGAAAGGGTATCTTAATGTGGATTTTGGATCCCT